GGAGCTGGAAGATTTTACAGACAGTGGTCAATTTTTAACAGCTGTTCCTGGAATTGCTGGGATGTTGATCCGGAGGCTTGTAGACTACCACAATGACTAGGTTTTGGTTCTCTACCTTTACTGCTAAAACTTCCACTACATCATTTGAGGCATTTAGCAGTTCTGTGCAAACAAGTGACTCTGCAATGTACAGGCCAACCCCCCCCCTTTTGCCTGTTCACTCTGTCACATCTGTATTGGTTGCAACCGGGGATCCATATTTCGTTGTCCAAGTGATCCTTTATGTGGGTCTCAGTGAAACCCGCGAACATTGCCTTTGCCTCTGCAAGCAGTCCACGGATGAAAGGTATTTTGTTGTTTGTTGCTGGCTTTAGACCCTGTATATTTGCAAGAAGAATGTTATCGGACTGGTGGTATGTTGGTATTGTGGTATTGTGTGATTGAATTTACACAAGTTTAAATGGTTACGAGTTATTTACAGTAGGCAAGTGGATATTTTTTTCACAACGGATAATGGTATACTGTAGCCCAGTCACTACAGTAGTGACATCTAATATTCTGCTGATTTTGTTGGATGCGCCATAGACATATTACTCCTATTGCATAGACTGACTGACTTTAATCTCCTTCTGTCTCAGGCCAGTGAGATTCAGTTAAAGTTCTTTTCGTATTGCCCGTAAAGACTTACGCAGTACGCCTTTGACAACTCAGCAAAGTTGTTAACCAATGCGAGATGGAATCCATAGAAGGTGCAGTCCTGTGTCTGGCTACTGACATGAGCATATCACAGCTGACACTTTTGGAGCTAAGAGCGTGTATAAATGATAACGAATCACACTTGAGTGCAAGGATAGCCAAGAATTCGGTTTGTAGGGAGGAGGCCCATTTATTGTGCATGCACCATGGTGTTCCGTGGCTTGGTTGGCAACGCACTCCCGTGGGTGGGAACGTTGGGCGTGTTTCCTTACACCTGCTGGAGCTGTTCACCTAGCAAGATAAGAGATAAGGCAGTAAGCAGATATCAAGGTGTTAGTCGACTGGTGTGGGTCGCATCCTGGGGGCCAAGATTAAGGACCACAGTGGAAGTCAGTTAGTCAGTCTCATCTTACCTTCTATACAGGAGCTGTCACTGACAAAAACTAATTACCAGTAACATGCACATATAGACTGGTGGAGCCGTCATTTTACTTAATTTATGGAAGACAGTGCTGTTTTGATCAGGCATCTTCAATCTAAGGCTTCAAGAGGGTCCTTGATGTCGGTGAGAGGCTCTTGATCCTAGACATTGGACGTGTCTTCTTTGGATCAAGTCTGACTACTTTCCATTCCCCAAAGAAATGTATGACCCCTACCTGTTTAATGCTTCCCCTTAAATATAATAACTCAAGGCATAATGCTTAACTCTAATATTAGTCCTGACGGTATATAGTTGGCTTAGTGATGTATTTTTATATTATTATTTTTTATTAACACATCGGCCGTTACCCACGGAGGCAGGGTGACCCGAAAAAGAAGAAACGCTTTCATCACCATTCACTCCATCACTGTGGCCCGGTGGCCTGGTGGCTAAAGCTCCCGCTTCACAAACGGAGGGCCCGGGTTCGATTCCCGGCGGGTGGAAACATTTCGACACGTTTCCTTACACCTATTGTCCTGTTCACCTAGCAGCAAATAGGTACCTGGGTGTTAGTCGACTGGTGTGGGTCGCATCCTGGGGGACAAGATTAAGGACCCCAATGGAAATAAGTTAGACAGTCCTCGATGACGCACTGACTTTCTTGGGTTATCCTGGGTGGTTAACCCTCCGGGGTTAAAAAACCGAACGAAATCTTATCTTATCTTCCCAGAGGCACACCTACATTACAGTTAAAAAAAACTGCAGCATATTTCCACCCCTCCTTCAGAGTGCAGGCATTGTACTTTCCACCTCCAGGACTCAAGTACGTCTGACCAATTTCCCTGAACCCATTCATAAATGTTACTTTTCCCACACTCCAGCAGTATGTCAGGTCATAAAAACCATTCACCTCCACTCGCTCCTATATAACAAGCTCACGCACACTTCCTGGAAGTCTAAGCCCTTCACACAAAAATCTCCTTTACCCCCCCTCCCTCTCCAACCAATCATAGGACGACCCCTACCCTGCCTTCCTTCCGCTACAGATTTATACACCCTCTGAGTCATTCTGTTTCGTTCCATCCTCCTTAAATGTCCGAACCACCTCAACAACCAATCATCAGCACTATGGATAATTCTTTTAGAAACCCCACACCTCCTAATCTCCAGAGAATAGAACCTGTCTAACATGGGTCAGTTACACCTGCAGCATAGCTTCTCTATGCTCTTATATTCACATGATGGCAGATCCTAATATGGATAACAATCTTTTAGCTAAAAGTTTGAAAACTATGAAGATTCCAGACACTTGCAGGATAGTGTGGGTTGTGGCAGCTCAGCTTCTGTTGGTCTTTTGTCGCTGATGAACTAGCTGTGCTTTATTAAGCTTCTTAAGTGCCCACATTGATTTCAGTGTTGCAAACAGGCGTTGTTGTGGTCATCCCGTCTTCAGGTGTCGAGACTGCTACTTAGGTATACCTATTTACTGCTAGATGAACAGGAATAGTAGGAGGAGTAAAATGTGACAGACTAAACAGGCAGCAAGGATGGGGAGGGGGGGTTGACCTGTACGTCACAGAGTCGCTCAATTGCTCTTATGCCAAATCTAAGGGAAAAACAACATCCAGTATTGGGCCCCTGCTTAAGCGGGATGGGACATAAACAGATGACAGCCAAGAAATGTGAGATACTAAAGTCCCAATATGACTTAGTATTCAGCGTGCCGCTGCCCAAATTAAGGGTCGACAATCCAAATGAATTCTTTATGAACGAAACCCAAAATTTGGTCATCCCAAAAATCTCAGATATTATCCTAACTCCAAAAGACTTTGAAAAGGCAATAAATGACATGTCCATGCACTCTGCCCCAGGACCTGACTCACGGAACTCTGTGTTCATAAAGAATTGCAAGAAGCTCCTATCGCGTGCCTTCAGCAATTTATGGAGAGGGAGCACGGACACAGGGGTCATCCCACACACACTAAAAACAACAGACATAGCCCCACTCCACAAAGGTGGCAGTAAAGCAATTGCAAAGAACTACAGACCGATATCATAAAAATATCATTAAAAATCTTTGAGAGGGTTCTAAGAAGCAAGATCGCCAACCACCTAGATACCCATCAATTACACAACCAAGGGCAACACGGGTTTAGAGCAGGTCGCTCCTGCCTGTCCCAGCTACTGGACCACTATGACAAGGCCCTGGGTGCTGTAGAGGATAAACAAAACACAGATGTATTATACACAGACTTTGCAAAAGCTTTCGACAAGTGTGACCATGGTGTAATAGCACACAAAATGCGTGATAAAGTAATAACAGGAAAAGTTGGTAAATGGATCTATAACTTCCTGACAAATAGAACACAAAGAGTAATATTAAACAGAGTAAAGTCCCAGGCAGCCACGGTGAAAAGCTCTGTTCCACAAGGCACAGTACTCGCTCCCATTCTATTCCTTATTCTCATTTCTGAGATAGACAAAGATTTCTTACTTTGAGGATGACACCTGGATTACCATGACAGTGACCTCCATCGAAGACACCGCAAGACTCCAAGCGGACATCAACCAAATCTTGTAATAATGTTGGTAGAATTACGGAAAATGTGTAAAGTAAAAGGACACAAGTGCAACTAATGTGACATTTTTATTGTGGCAAAGTTTCGCTCTCCAGGAACTTTGTCAAACCGTAACTGCTTGCCAAAGCTCCTGGAGAGCGAAACGTTGCCACAATAAAAATGTCACATTAGTTGCACTTGTGTCTTTAACCAAATCTTCAAATGGGCCACTCAAAACAATATGAAGTTCAATGAGGAGAAATTTCAACTACTCAGATATGGGAAACTTGAGGAAATTAAAAATGTATCAGGGTATAGGATAAATTCTAACCATACAATATAGCGAAAAGGTAATGTGAAGGACCTGGGAGTGATGTCAGAGAATCTCGCTTTCAAAGACCACAACAATGTATCTACCTCATCTGCTAGGGAAATGATAGAGTAAATAATGAGAACCTTCAAAACTAGGGATGCCAAGCCCATGATGATTCTCTTCAAATCGCTTGTACTCTCTAGGCTGAAATACTACTGTACACTAACCGCCCTCTTCAAGGCTGGCGATATTGCAGACTTGGACAGTGTACAAAGAACTTTCACAGCACATATAAGTACAATAAGGCACCTAAACTACTGGGAACGATTGAAGGTCCTTGATCTGTATTCCCTGGAACGCAGGCGAGAGAGATACATGATAATATACACCTGGAAGGTCCTGGAGGGATTGGTACCAAACCTGCACACGAAAATCACTCCCTATAAAAGCAAGACTCGGCAGGAGATGCAACATTTCCCCGATAAAAAGCAGGGGCGCCACGAGTACATTGAGAGACAACACAATAAGTGTCCGGGGCCCAAGACTGTTCAACTGCCTCCCAACATACATAAGGGGAATTACCAATAGACCCCTGTCTTTAAGAAGGCACTGGACAGGCACCTAAAGTCAGTACTTGACCAGCCGGGCTGTGGTTCGTATGTGAGTTTGCGTGCGGCCAGCAGTAACAGCCTGGTTGATCAGACCCTGATCCACCATGAGGGCTGGTCTCAGACTGGGCCGCGGGGGCGTTGACCCCCGAAACCCTCTCCAGGTAAGAAAATTTTCTTATCTGCTTTCCCGCGTGACCAGAATGAAAGCATGAATTATGTGATCTAGTACAGTTAAACTTCTCGGATTAGATTTCTAACCCAAACAGTTAGATGGTATAACATTTATTTAACAGTATGCTTTCTAAAATTATGTAATGATGTGTCCAGAAACCAGCTAGATAAAAAAAATATACACACAAATACTTTGTGAATGAGATAATTAATGGTTGCCATGAACTCAGGGGCTGTGGCAGTGGAGGAAGTTGTCATCCAGTGGAGTAGCAGTGTAGTGGCAGCAGTGGTTACAACAACACTGGTGGATGGCGTGGTGGCGGGCTCCAGGGAACCTCTCACCTGCTGGACGTGCTCCTCCAACAGCCATGGCTCCGACTGCTACGATCTGGACCATGATAATGTTACCTTCACCACCTCTGCTTCCAGGAATTGCACACCTGAGGAGACATTCTGCACTGTCAGTTGCAATACATGCATTTCTGTTTATCTTCATTTTTTCAATATTCTGAATTTTCTGTCTCTCATTCTTGCTGCTGTACTCCGTCTGAGGAGTACATCGAGACTATTGACTAAATCTGCGGGAAATGAGCGAAGTCTCCTGTCGCTAAATCTGAAAACAAGAGGGAATATGATCATGACATAGACAGTGAGGGGCTGTGTACCAAAGACAAAATAATAACAATGTCATATGATATCAGATAATATTTCTTTAACATGATTACAGTACTGTAAAAGCAATATTGCAAAAACACTAAATGCATATGGGTTATTCAAGGCTTTTTTTTTAACTTAAGTGTGGCAAAAAAAAAATGGGATGAACTTGACGGACACAGTGTACTATACTGATACGCAAAGAGAACCAAAAGGATAAAAAGCCATTTTGTCATTTGGTCTAAGGCTACAATGGAGGACTAAGAGCTAGCATAGGCTATGTGTATACTAAATATATTTCAAATATGTTTTGCACTTTATTATGTAAATGCTGACTGTGATGTTGGCATCCATACAGGTGAAAAGGGTCTGGTATGTAGTTGAGGCAGGAGAAGAAAAGATGGACTTTGGAGTTAATCGTACATGTGCTGCCGTCTGCAACCCATCATGTATGGTCATTGGTGACAGAACCAAGGTAATGTGCTGCTTTTGATTGTAGTGTCTTTTGTAAAATTGAACAGAGATCTTGCATCCAGAAGTTTTCTAGGTATCAAGTTGACAATAATATTCTGATAGTTTGCATTATTTTTTTTCCCAGGGATAATGAACCTTTTATTATGTACAGTATTATATTCACGGGGAAAAATTAAACCCATAGGGGTCATACGGCACCTGAGGAATGAGAGAGATAAGTTTTGATCCAAGGAAAGGAAGGGATAACTTCAGTCTCTTACATCAAAAGCCCTTCACAAACATCTAGGCACCCCTGTCAAAGGGAGATTTTTTATAACTTAACCAAGAGATAGTTATAAGAAGTGAGTTAATCAGTGGTACTGTATTATCCCCAGATCTACTCGTGCACATCGTGTTGCTCTGAGTCCTACTGCAACACTGGCAGCTCTGCTTCTCCCAGGCACTCCAGCTGCACCCAACTTCTCCTGGTCGCTCTTATTGCTGCCCTCGCACCCACACTTACTTCTGTCTTCGTACCTACTGTGACCTTCGCTCTAGCACCAACGTTGACCTACACAGCTACACAGGTCATTGGTTTCAACTCCCAGCTGGGTGTTCATGTCCGCAGAGATGCCCTGGCTCTCGGCTCCTTCCTTTTCATTGTTGTCTTGGCTTCTTCCAGCATTTGTCACATCTTTTGAAATCTTCATATTTTTACAAAAAAAAAAAAACTTCTTTTTTACAACAATGTGGTAATTTTTTATTGAAGTCAATCACTGGCAGAGCATCAATGTTTTCCTATCAGAATTAAGAAAGAGTATATTTTAGTTCAATTACCAAAGAAATCGATTAGAAAATATTTTGAACTTTTATGAAATGCATTACTGTGAATGATACTACATGTGATAATAGCAAAGTTAAGTAAATTATAGTAAGTTAGACTTGTTGATGTTCAAGGTCCTGCCTTGCCTAGGCTCTCTTTAGGGTTACAGGTGTATGGGGTCCAATGGTTTATGTTATATGGAGTGTAACCTGAAATTTGACTCGTCTGATCTTCCAAATGGAGCCACAGTACTCCATTGTTTTGATGTTTCCTAATGTTATATATGACCCATGTTTTACTCTGCTGATCCATTATTCCAGCTCCAGTAACCAGATGAGAGACACTGGTTGTCGTCCGCTGGAAGTAAAAATACTGTACGTATTGTATTGTATTGACATATCCTCTGTAGACATATCATTTAAAAAGAAAGAACAGCTTCCAATATAAGTTTTGTTTACCTTGATGGTGACACAGTGGATTCAACTCCCAACTCTGAAGCATGCATTATAACAACACATTTAAGAACTATACAGTAGATCTTTAAACCTCAAGATGTAATAAGTCTGAAAAAATAGGTTGCTTATGGAACGGATGTAAGTCTCATCATACCTACCAACTTGTTGGCAGTAAGGTGCAGGTGAATCAGTATATAATATTGATGGGGAAGCACTAACCCAGAAGGGTTATACAGTGCCTAGGGAATGAGATTAGTGGGTAGAAATCAGGTTTCACCCAAGGAAGGGTAAGGTTGCTCCAGTTCCTAGTATTAGGCCTTCAGCAGCAGCAAGGCAACCTCCCATGATGAGGAGACAATACAAGTTAGCTAAACTAAAAGTCATAATTTGTTCATATTTTCTTTGTATCTCTGGGGTTACTTAATCAGTTCATTGGGCAATATTGGTCTAAATATTACTATAAAAAATTGTCTTGAGGTTTATTGGGCAATAATGTAGACATCTTGATATTCAGTGGTGAAGTAGCATCTTGATGTTAATAAGTAGATATCGTAGATATCTTGATATACATTTGTTGAGAACGCAATAGTCTCATTGCTCATCATTGAGATGGTAGACACATTGACGTTCATTGGTAGAAAATTTAGTCATCTTGATGCTTATTGGGCAGAGCTTTAGTTATCTTTATAATGAGTGTTTGAAACTCATGTCTCGGCAATTCATAGCTATAAACATCTCAAGTGCTTTGATGGTGAGTTGATAAAGCTTGTATTCTTTGCTGTCATAGCCTCTTTGTTTTATTTATAAATGTTGCAATAATTCAACCCTTAATAGACTTGGTTCAAGAGAAAATTAGCACAAAATAACAGCACAGCAGTAAAACTATGCTAATTAAAAAAATATCTTCGATCCTTTGTAACCTACATACCTATAAATAAAATTGAAAAGTGTTATTAAAAGAATGAGCTTTATTTGTCCATAAGAAAAAATCAATAAGATAAACTAAAAACTTTAATATTTGGCATTGTTATTATTATTTAGAAAATAATGGGAAAGGTTTATATTGCAGAAGAAAAAATAATGAAAGTTAAAAAATTAAACAAGAAGTGGTGTTGAGGGAAGGACAACAGAAGGAAGGAAAAGGGTCACATATGGTGTAGCAAATCAGTGTCAGTTAAGGAGTCAAAGAGCCAGGGTTAAGGTGCAACTGGGAGAGGAGGGCAGAGTGAGTAAGTATGTCAAGGTGTCTGAAGTGAATATGGTAAGATCTGATCAAAAGATGTTGGACTGGCAGTACTCTAGACTGAAGATGGAAGAAAGCCAAAAGAAAAGGGGTTACATGTTTATTGCGAACAGTCAAAAGCCAGAGCAAGTGTTCATAGAAAACAAGAAAATGATGATCCAGTTTACAAGTGTTTCATGATTTTCGCAAGGGCTGTAACCTTGAAATAGGCACCTGGAGGAGCTATTACTATTACAGGAAATCGCTAAGCCCAAATGAGTCATACAGTGCTAACCTACGAATTACACTTGCAGGAGTGTTAACAGGTGTAGTGGTGCTCAAACTTTACAATACACTAATAACAGCCAAGAATGTGGCTGTTATTATTGTACTGCAAATACAATAC